TTTATCAAGCACCCTGGAGAGAAGAGGATGGAAGAGGGAGAGGAATGGGAGCAAGGAGGGAGGTCGAGGCGCTGAGGAGCTGCAGGAGGGGGAGGGGAGCTGAGGGGAGGAAGAGCCGGCAGAGGGGATCACTCCTCAGGGCACTGTGTGGGAAATTGGGCCACCTTTCTGGTTGCCAGAGGGCGCTGGGAAAGAATGAATCTTGGAGAATGGTATTCAGGAGTCAGGGAAGCCCACAGGGCAGGGGTGGCCACCCTTGCTACCATTAGGACCACACAGGGCAGGGTCCCTGTCCCCAGATAGTCTGACTCTTCAGGAACAACTTTGCTAGCACGTCACTCCTCTTTGGTGGTGCTGCCCAGCTTAGCCCCGCCAACTAGGCATCTGAAGAGGATATAGTGCAAGTCATTCTCTTCAGGAGGACACAGGCTGACTGCACCCCAGGTAAAGCTCATTCTCCAGCAGCAGCCACATCTGAGCTCGCTTGGTGTCCACCAAGACTGACGGTCCTCAGAAAGGTGTCTTCCCTTCACCCCTCAGTCCTTGGAGCCCGCATCCTGCAGGGCTTCTCAGGAGGCGGGCAGAGAGTCTCCCCATCCTGGGAGGGGTGACTCAGTTGGAAAATCTCTTCCCTGCTACATCCTCCTTGGCTGATGAGCCTCGCAAATCCACTCTGAAACTGCCATTCCACTGTCAGTGGGAACAGAAGTGAGGTTGGGCTGAAAGTCCTACAAATGCTGGGATGTACTGTAGCTGGGCTGTGACAAGACCTGAGGACACACTGATGGCCCAGGCAGACAAGGCTCCCTCCTTCAGGACGTTCATTTCAGTGTGCCCAGCTCCACTGTGTCCCAGAGCCTAGCCCCGTGTCCCGGCTTGGCACGGGCTGCCCAGTAGATACCTGGGGAACCAGACTGCATTGAGCCTCCGTCAAAAACCTGCCTCGTCTGGTTCTGTGTAGATGTCAATCAGGGCTTGTCACCCCTGCCACTATGGTGCTGAGGACTGTACGTTCTTTGTCATGGCTGCTCTGTGTGTTGGGGCATGATTGGCAGCACCCTGGCCTCTCCGCACCTGGTGCCAGGAACACTCCCCCCCCCAGGTGTGACGAAAAATGTCTTTGGACATTGCCAGTGTCCAAAATCACCATGGACAACGACTGATGCAGACTCAGGCTTGGCCTACTGAAAGCAGTGGACTTCACCTCGAGAATCCATCCTCCTCCATGGGCACCAGGCAGGTAGGCGTCTTTATCAACTTGGGAGGCAGAGGAAGGAAAGAAAGAAAAACAATACAAACCTTTTTTTTTTTTTTGTAAGAGCAGCTTTATTGAGATATAATTCACTTACCATAAAATGTATCCTTAAAATTTAAAGTCTACAATGCAGTGACGTTTGTATATTCAGAGTTGTCTAGCTGTCTATCACTATAATTTTAGGACATTTGTACCTTCCCCCGAGGAAATCCTGTACCTGTTGGCCGTCACTCTGCATTTCCCCTCCCCTAGCTCCTGGCAACCACAAATCTGCTTTCTATCTCTGTGGATCTGCCCAATCTGGACATTTGGTGTCGATGGAATCATTCAACAGATGGTCTTTTGAGACTGGCTTCTTTCACTTAACTTGAGGAATTTCAAGTTTATTCATTTTGTAGACCGTCAGTTCTTCTTTGCTTCTTAAGGCTGAGTGATAATCATTGTGTGAACGCACCGCGTTCCGTTTATCCATTCATCTGATGTACTCTTAGGTGGTTTCCGCCTTCTGGCTATTATTCACGTGCCGCTGTGAACCTTCATATATAGCTTCCATGTGGACCTGGGTTTCATTCTCTTGGGTATATACCTAGAAGAGGAATTGTTGGGCCACGTGGTAACTCGACGTTCAGCGTTGTAAGGAGCCGCTAGTGTCTTTAGCCAAGGCCTACACCACTTCACAGTCCCGCCTGCAGCTCACACTGGCTGTAGTTTCTCTTTTTTCTTTTTTTTTTTTTTTATCCTCACCCGAGGACATTTTTTTTTTTTTGTACAGATAGAGTGAGAGGGAGAGAGAGAGAGAAACATGGACGTGAAAGGGACACATCGAGTGGCTGCCACCCGCACAACCAACCAGGGCCGGGGACAAACTGCAATCAAGGCACATGCCCTTAGCGGGAACCGAACCCGGGTCTCTCCAGACCGCAGGCCGACGCTCTAACCGCTGAGCCAAACCGGCCAGGGCCTGGCTGTAGTTTCTCTACTTCCCGCCGACACTGGCTGTAGCTGTTCCCGTGGTTCTGAAGGGGTGTCTCCCCGAGGTTTCTGTTGCCATGTCCCTGATGACTCATGCTACTGAGCTGCTGTCCGTGTTTACTTTAGAGAAGTGTCTGTTGATACCCTTCGTTCATTTTTAAGTTGGGCTGTTTGTTTTTTATTGTTGAATTTTAAGAGTTCTTTACGTATCCTGAAGATGTCTCTTCTCAGAAATATGGCTTGCAAATATCTTTTCCCATTCCACGGGTTATCTTTCATTTTCTTGATGGCATCTTCTGATGCAGAAAAGTTTTTCATTTGGATGAAGTCTCATTTATCTTTCTTTTCTTCTTCTTTTGTCATTTGTGCTTTGGGTATCATATTTAAGAAACCATCGCCGAATTGATGGCACAGACATTTATTTCCATATTGTCTAAGAGTTTACAGTTTCAGTTCTAATATTTAGATCTATGATCTGTTTTGAGTTAATTTTTATGTGTGGTATGAATTAAGAATCCAACTGGATTCTTTCGCATGTGGATAACCAGCTGTCCAAGCAACTTTTCTCTCCCCATTGAATGATCTTCACATCCTTGTTGAAAATTGATTGACCACAGGTACCTGGGTTTATTTCTGGGCTCTCGGTTCTATCCCATTGATCTGTATATCTGTCATAACTTTTAGCTCACTGTTTTCTTACCATGTAGCTGATAAACAGGAGGCTGAAGGGATCAGGTAACTTGCATACATGTGTGGTTTAAAAAATAAAATATCTATCGCGTGTTGAAATGAGAAGGCATCTTAGCGGTCATGCGAGTGCACCCTTGTTTTGATAATGAGGGGGGGGAAAGATTCATTTTTAATTGTATTTATTTATTTTGTTTTTTAATTGGTTAATAAAAGTATATGGGTTTCAGGTGTACAGTTCTATAATACATCGTCTGTGTGTTGTGTTCACCACCCCAACCACTTATCCCCTTTACCCTCTTTCCCTCCCTCCATGCCTGCCCTCTGGTAATCACCATGCTGTTGTCTGCGTCTATGAGGTCTTTGCTTTTTTTTTTTGCTTAATCCCCTCACCCTTTTCACCCAGCCCTGCAGCCCCTGCCCGCTGACAGTCTGTTTGTCCTGTAAATTTTAATGTCAGAGATGAACACATCACCGCTCATCAGAGGCAGAGCTGGGATTAGAATCTCCTGACGTCGAGGTCTCTGACCCCGACCACAGGTCTGCCTGAGCTTCCTTCACCAGACGAGCGAGCCCGTGTTCCCCTCACTGCCCGGCTCCCACGCCGGCTGGGGCTGGTGGCGTGTGTCTGCTCCTTTCTCTCCCGCCGGAGAAAAGAAAGCCGGTGAGGGGGAAGCAGTTGGAAAATCGGAAATTGCTGTGTAAATGCCACTGAATGATAAGATTGCCGGTTTGATGCTCTTCTCCCCAGAAGGTTCAGCGTGTCAGAGGCAGCAGCATGGAAGGAAGCTGATCACTCTCAGAGCCGTTTGTAAACTGGCACGTTTGCCGCTTGCCAAGAGGACAGAGTGTGGGAGCTGGCACCCCTGTGCGAATGAAGCCTCGGGGTGAGCTGCTGGCTGGGAGAGGCCGGGAGGCGTGGCGCCTCCCCCACATCTCAGGGACTCCCCACGTAGATGGGAGACTTCTTGCCCAGCTCATGCAAAACAGGGGGTCACTCAGATCTGGGGACCTGGCTCTAGAATGACAGTGTCCAGATGGTGGTCTCTCGGCTTGTCCATGCTTATCTTTGCCTTGTCAGAGGATCCCTGTGTCTCTGTTTTCAGTCAATACTGCTTATCCTATGCGTCACGCCCTTACAGCGAGTCCCGTCTGAAATCACGTTGTGGAGTGATTTCCGAAACTGTGAGCCCTTAGGTGGCAGGGACTGCGCCCTGTTCACCTGTCTCTGCAGGGACCGGCGTGTGCTGAGTGCTCAGTAGCAGGTGTGGTTGCAGAGCTGCTGAGGAGCAGAAGCTGCTCCTGGGTAGCTGGGTCTCTTGTGGAGGGCATGGGCCTCTCCGGCGTCAGCAGCAACTCCGGGCACCCTCCTTCCTGCGCACTTCCCGCCCTGCATTTGTCATTGCTCCGTCCTCCAAGCTCCGGTCCTGTTCCGTCTGCACCGTCCATGTGTTCTGATAGTTATCTTTGCACCTGCACATCCTGTCGCTGCAGCTAAAGCGTATGTTTCTTTGGTGGTGGGAGGTTACCAGTGTAGAATACATGCTATTGGTGTGTGTTTCTCGATGGGGAAGTTGGTCACTGGTATCTGCTGGCCGCTGCTGTAGACGTCGCTTGGAATAGGGGGGATTGGGGGAAGCCAGTGTTTTGAAAGGGCCCAGAGTTCCTTGATTTAAATTAATTAAACAAAGAAACCATCTGGCCGATGCGGCTCAGTGGTTGAATGGTGACACATGCACCAAGAAGTCGCCAGTTCGATTCCCAGTCAGGGCACATGCTCAGGTTGTGGGCTCAATCCCCAGTAGGGGGCATGCGGGAGGCAGCCAGTTGATGTTTTCTTTCATCAATGTTTCTCTCTCTCTCCCCCTCTCCCTTCCTCTGTCTCGAAAATCAATAGAGGAAAAAAAAAATTTAAAAAGAAAGAAAGAAAGAAACCATGATTACTACATTCTAGTTGCCCAGCATGGCAACCTCTAGCCTGTGTTCCTGCTGAGACCAGCCCCAGAGGGAGCTCCGGACATCGAAGGGCCTTTGTGGCCGTGCACAGCTGCTCGGTGCATCTCACTGTGATCTCCTCCTTGTTTAGGGCTCTGGCTGACATCTTGAGACAACAGGGACCAATCCCCATAGCACACTGTGAGAGAGAAACGATCTCGGCCATCGATACCTCCCCAAAGGAGAGCACGCCGGTCAGATCGTCCTCCAAAAACCACTACACACCCGTGCGCACGGCCAAGCCGACTCCAGGTAAGTGAGAGCTGGTCGCCTTGATCTTTGCTGAGCCTGTTAAGAGGTCTTGGTGAAGTTGCTGCTCTGGTGGGGGGTGGTCATGAAGCCTGTGCTGTAAGACTCTCTGATGGGCGGTTGGGCTTGCGAAAGAGTCTGGGGACTGTCCCCCTGGGGAGGTATTGGTGTGGTAGACACTTCCGCCAATGAGTGTCCGGGCTGGAGGGGAGCTGTTGGTTTAGGGCATCCGTGGTTTAGTGAGTGGCTGGTGTAACTTGCTCACCGGGAAGGGAGCTGTGGCGGAGGACAGTCACCACTTGTTCATGAGGGGAAGGACCGCCTAGGATGCTGTGTGACAAGAAATTGCTGCTGTCCATTGTAGAGACTTCTCAACTGTTAGAATCTCACAAAGCACTTCCGAGGGTAGGGGTTGTGTCTGTGTTGTAGGGGGACCCTTTCCTGGGCTTTCGCAGTTCTGGGATGGATGACAAGTTGCCATGAAATAGCAACGTCTTCCACTCTTCTACTGGATTCTTGCTGTGTCTGCGTGAGGGAAACCGAGCAGGGCTCATTCCTTGTCGTGAGGAATAGTAACTGAAGCTCAAGGAAGTGGAGTGACTCGGACAGGTCACTCTGATAATAATAATAAGACATCACTAATGGCGAAAATGTAACCTCTCACTTATTGGGTCTTACTCTGTGCCGAGTGTTAACGCTGAGCATTTTACATGTATTTTCCTTCTTATCCTTCACAGCAATTTTAAAAGTACTTATAGTGTCCCCATTTCACACGAGGAACAGAACGGTTCAGTAATTTTCCCAAGGACAAAGTTGTAAGAAAGAAAGCCAGGATTTAATAGGGGCATAAAGGTAATAATAATAAGGACTAGAAAATCCTAATATCCTAACCCGGTGGGGACATGACGCCAAAGTATCTGAGTGGACAGTCTCCTTACAAGTACAGCTGAGGACGTCATTTCTCTTGATGAGCTTTATTAGGCAGCCGAACACTGACCCCAGTCTCTGACTCAGCTTCTGCTGCTCTGATACTTGGGTCTGAAATCTTCACATCTGTCACCCTTTTCAAAGGACGGGCAATAGTCTGAACTAAACCTGCAATAAGGACATGCCACAGCTAGGTGGCGGCGGGTGGCTGCAGGTTCAAAATGAACAGTGACTGTGCTGTTGGGATCGAATTTATTTCCCATTCATTCTTGAATGTTCTTAGATGGATTAAACCCGAAACCACATACTTGTCTTTAAGGTGCTATAGCATTACAGCTTTTGAGAATCTGATAAAAGTTAGGGACATTCTTCTTAGAAGATATACATATGTATTCATCCAAAATTTTGCATAGGATTTAAGGGTATTCATAGACCTTTCCAAAGTTAGACATCCTTGGTTTAAAATTAGAGATGAGAGAGCCACCTTTGCAAAAAATCTACGATGCGTCTTTAGCCTTAATATCATAGATGCTTAAAATGTAAGCAGTGGAAGGAATCTTGGCAAAACACACACACGCACGCATGCACCTCTGGGGCAGTAGTTATCTACCCGTGTGCACCTTAGAATCACCTGAGAAGCAGTTACAAATACTGGTGCCCGGGCCCCACAAATGAACCAGAGTTTCTAAGAATGCTGCTGGCATCCGTACTTTTAGAAATTTCCCTCTGATCATTTTAACGTTGGGACAGTGAAAAACCGCTGGTCCAGACGGATCCTTTTGTTTCACGAGTAAGAACACTCCACTCTGCCAGTGGGTCTCAAATTTGGCTGTACATTGGAATCACCTGTGGACTCTCCTGAGGGACTTTAAAAATTAAGGGTACCTGGGCCCCAAGCTCAGAGATTGTGATGTAATTGGTGTGGGGGTGTGGCCTGAGCCTGAGGGGGCGTGGTGTTTAAAGCTTCCCAGATGATTCTACTGCGGAGGGAAGTTGGAGCATCACTGGGCGATGGGAAATACATAAAGGCGCCCTGCTAACTCATCCTCGTGATCATTGGTCACTGTGGAACCTAACCTCGGTACCTTGGCCGTCTTTGAGTGGGGCATTTGTCTCCCTGAAGATTCATGGTTTGAAGTCAGACTCCTCCAGAACCTCATCTGCAGCTCTGGAGCTTCAGATCCAAAGCATCCTCGGGACTTTCCCGTCGGCTCCGGTTTTCTCTGTCTCATTCACAGACCAGCGAGTTCCCACCGAGGCCAGGCTGATTAAGTAGATAGTCTTGATGTGTCCTTAACACCTTTCGCTGGGCAGGAGTTTTGTCATTTCTTCTTGTTCCTATTGCACCCTCCCCTAGTGATCCGAGAAAGAAAGACAGCTTCTGGTTGCACGCCTCGCTCCTGTTTGGAGAAAGCCTTTCTGTAGTTCTCAGACTGGAGCCTGCCACTTGACTTTTAGAAGTGGGAGTGGTTTCCCTGGTCTAGGAAGCACTTACATTTAAAAGCAATTTCATAGCAACCCACAACATCGGCAGCTTCCAAGGGACACAACTGCTTTTCCAAGTAGCGGATATCCTTTGCCACAGAGGATTGCAATTTGAGCAGAATTGAAGCAGAACTTTGCCTGAACGTTCAAAGTGGAGATTGTGATTTTGCCATTGGCTGCGGTTTGTCAAATGAACACCCCCCCAATCGTAGGAGTTTGGTTGGCCGGGAGTCTTTCAGGGGGTCGTAAAGAAATTACCCAGAAATACCAGGAGGCATCATAGCATATGGGTATTTTGATACTCAAAATATTTCAGGGACCTGCCTCATCAGCACCACTTGGGATTTGTGAGAACTGTAGAATCATGGTCTCCTTCTCACCTGCTGAATGGAACCTGCATTTTTTTTTTTATCCTCACCTGAGGATAAGTTTTTATTGATTTTATTTTTTAGAGACAGAGGAATAGGGGTGGGGGGAGAGAGAGAGAGAGAAATATTGCTCAGTTGCCCCCCGTACACACCCTGAGCAGGGATGGAACCCGAGACCCAGGTTTGTGCTCTGACCGGGAATCAAACCTGCAACCTTTTGGTGTCTGGGACGATGCTCCAACTGACGGAGCCACCCGGCCAAGGCTGGAACCTGCATTTTAATGATTTCAGCAGTAAAGTTTGAGAAGCACTGGGGAAGCATGAGTTCTGAAACATCTCCTCAGTTTGCCTTCTGACCCTACCTGCTGCCTAAGTTGTTTTCAGGATTTGGTGAGTTAGACCAACGAGAGCCCGTAAGACAGGTCCTGCCATGGAGCAGACTCTGGGTTCAGCCATGACTGGACTCTGGCCACCCTCAGGGCGAATGAACCCACAGTGACAGTAACGCAGGCATCAGTGCCCTTCGACCTGGCAGGGTCACGGGGCTGCATCTAAAATGAAATCCCCTAGACCCAAGCCTTCCTGAGGCTGAAGGCTTCGCGGGGCTTTGTCCAGCCCTGTCCGGGTCTTGGACGTCGGAAGCACATGCCTGTTTGATTTAGGAGGTGGCGGGAGGGTCCTGCCTGAATGATAATAAAAGCGGTGATGCCGTGAGCAGCACCAGTACCAGAGTCATGCCTACCACGTGGCGGGCACGTGATTTGTGCACAGGGACCCTGTCACCTTCCTTAGGTACAGGGCAAAAAAATCCCTGTCTCCTTAAGAGCCCTTTACCCTGGCTTGCCCAGACGTCCTGTTCCAACTTGAAAGATAGCTTCATAATGGACAGTTACTTTGAATGTAGAAAATCTACCCTACCCCTCAAATCTGGCTGCCTCTGGACCCTCGCTATTCAAAGTGTGGCCCGGGACCGACAATGACTGCCTCCCCTTGGAGCTTGTTAGAAATACAGAGTCCTCGGCTCTTTCCCAGACCTGCCGAGTCAGAATCGCATTTGAAAAGATCTGTCTGAATGCTCACGAAAGTTGTAAAAAGATCCCGTCAGCACGGTGATCCTCAGCCTTGGACACTCCCTGGAATCATGTGGGCAGCTCTGGAAATACTAATGCCTGGCGCTCACCCCAGAGACTCTGATTTCATTGGTCTGGGTTAGAACCTGGGCACTGGTCTTTTTCAAACACTTCCCACGTGGTTCTCACGTTCAGCAGACTTGGAGAACCTGAGCTGGGAGGGAGACTGTCGAGGACGGAACACACCTTGGGGACTGTGGAGCTTGGGGTCCCATGCAGCCCACAGGAGGGAGCCTGGCCGGTCCAGGTCAGTGGGCTGCAGGGACAGGTCCTCCCATGGAGGCAGCGGGGGCTGGAGGGCTCCGGCGCACCTGAGAGGGAGGGGGTCCACCTGCAGCTCCGAATGGGGACCCCTGGGCAGCAGCCTCATACAGGCAAGGGTCTTGTCTTTCTATTCACTGTGCTATCCTAGACCCAAGAAGATTGCCTGGAAGGTCATCATAGTTGCTCAATGACTATTTTTTCAGGGAATGAATGGACGAGGACACTGACCTTTACTTGGATGGATGTAGGAGCTAGCACGTAGGTATTGGTTCTAGCTACATGCCGAAGAGCCCCGTTTCCAGGCACGGTTCACGGCTGCAGGTGAAGCCCGACGACCTGGGACATATGCCTGGACACTGGGAAACCTCTGGTCAACTTCATTCTCTAATAGGAAATGGGACTTTCCTGTCATCCCCAGGGGACCAGGGCTGTCTTTTTTTAGAGGGGGCTAAGATCGATAGCCTCATAAAACTTCGGAGCGCGAAGGGGATGAAGTGATCAGCTGACCCGACCTGTACTTGACCTGTGAGGAAACCGAGGCACACTGAGGTCATCTCGGTGAGAGGCGGGAGGGCCAGGCCTCAGCATCCAAGCTTCAGTGTTGGAGTTGAAAATGTGGTTTGTGCAGGTCGACAGACTGGGCGTGAATCCTGGATCCCTACTTACACGTTTTAGGACTCAGGCTACATGGCTTCACTTCTGTGTCTGTGATATGGCAATAACGGGCACTGTCCTCAAAGGGTGATTAAAGAGTTGAATGAAATAATCCATGTATTTTAAGGGCTTGGCAGTGGCGTGGTGCAGAGTTCTGGCTCCGTAGTTGTCGCAT